GGTTCAAGGAGGGGGTTCCTGGTTTCTGTTTTCTCTTATATTAAGCCTCCCTGTGTTTCCTCAATGTTCTTCAACTTAAAATTGTTTTTAAAATATCTCCTTATCTGTTCTGCTGTTGCTAAGATTTGGGTTCTCAACAACCTGAAATTGTGGCACCTGCTGTATTAGCTGAGTTTAACAATCGAAACAACTCAAACTAAATATGTACTGTATGCATTAGAGAAATACAATTTTATATTTCCAAAAGCAAACATCAAAATCTTAAAACATATTAGGTTTGTCAGTCTTTTCTTCGATTAACAACACCTATGTTAGATTAACAGAAACTACAAACTGTGCCATTAGCTGGTCCATGGACTGATAATAATTCCACTGTCAGCCATTGTAGCTTTAAAAGCTAAAATGAAATTATTATTGCTTCACCAAAGGTTTCCAACTCAGCAAAAAATGGGACTTTTTTATCCAAGCATTGTCTTCAATGCTACTGACTTCATTTTACCTCATCTTGTTCATGTACAATGGGTTTTAAATAGACACAATGTTTCTAAACAAGAAACTCTTGACAACGCTAACCACGCTTATTTTTACAACCTTTTAGATGTAGGAATCTGAATCTGGCATCTTATTTACTTTTCTACTGACTCATTGGGACAAGCTGATCAAAGAGAATTTGTTATAATGTTTAAAAACTATTCCATGAACCACTTATAAACTGCTATTATAAAGGGGAAAATATGAAACAGCAGTATTTTTGTATGGATTTACATATAAATATGATATAAATAGCTACAGATCAAGAGAGTTGCCTGCTTCAAAATAGTTTTCTGTTAGGAGGAAAGATTCATGACAGACGAGCAATTTGATAAAAGAAGAGCCACATTTGGAGAAGTGAAGGGTAGCCTTCCAAGTTCTAAGTTTTGGTTCTGACAGTGGAGACAACAAAAAAGAAAACATTATGATGAAATAATTTTTTGTTTTAGGTCATATGTTTGATTTTTATTATACTTAAAAAAACTTTCAGAATAATATTTGAAATCCAAAAATTAATATTATATTCATGCCAAAATATTGTCTGTTTAAATAAATGAAATGATGGAAATCTAAACTCCATGACCTGCTTCAAGTACTGCTTTGGGCTTCTGAAAGAATAATAAAACTGCATCTCCCAAAAATCCTATGTTACCCAGAAAGGTACCAGAGCATATTATAAAACAGCAAGGAAAGTGAACAAAAAAATACAACTAAATTATTTCCATGACCTCACAGATGAATGATACATTAACCATCTCTATGTTTTATGTAGATGAGAAGAGAGTACATTTAAAGACTTATATTAGCCTTCTTAGATCCTGAAACAACAGTAATATATATCTGTGATAAATTGTCTATCTACTGAAGAACTGAAGTGTTTTATAATCAGAATTGATGCTATCTCTGAGGTACAGTAAGTGAAAGCATTTCTGCCTGAAGCTTTAGCAAAAGCAAAGATTCGCTGCACTGATACAAGTGAGCTCCTTTTCATGAAACAATGCAGATCTAATCCAGTATGTAGGTAGCATGTGTTGAAGACACAGTTGACTTGCCTGTGGCCCTGTGTGTTGCATAACCAGACAGCTGACACAGTACAAAAATTGTCTGAGTAATGTAGTTGCGAAGCCATGTGTAAAAGAATACATTCACACACTTTTCCAGTTCTTTATGCAAGCAAAAACTGAATACAGACTGTCTCTTTTTGGCCATATCATGTTTATTCTCATGAAAACACAGAAAATAGATGATATTTATGGAAATTACGATGATATTTCCATATGAATGAATGTATTGTTCAACAAATGACAAATAACATACATATAATAAGGTGCTTAAAAGGTCACAGTGGAAAAAAAGACACTAAGTAGACATATATTCCTGTAAAACAGCAATGATTTAAAAGTGAGATTTAATCATTAGAAATATTGTTTTCTTCCAAAATGTGATAGTTGGATATCATTACATTATTATGTCGAAATCACAGAACTTGCATGCCTAAAAAGTACCCTGTATTTCTTATAATGAATTATTTAACAGAGGAGGAGTAATCCTTGATTTATGCCTGTAAGCTTAGTGTTTTCTAATGAAAAGTAGGCTAATAAGGAAAGAGTAAGTCGTCCCCAGCATGCGATTCTGGTATAAAGCTTCCATGCCCTTGTCACTGACATGGATGTCATTAGTTTTGGATTTTAATTGGCTTCATCCAACCATTCCTCCATTCCTAGAGTTGAATAATTATACAACTTTAAAGATCTGTAAAAGAACAATGAGTAATTATGTGCGCTTCCATCCTCTTATAGTCAAAATATTTCATAGAGGCTCATCATTTGTCTACATCTATACATTCACACTTACTAACATTTGGTTAATTTTTCATTCTCAAGTTTCATCTCCACCACACTTTCCTTCTGTTAACATTTAGCATAATTCTGTGAAAATAGCTAACCTCTTTTCTTAACAAAAATCAAGGGAATCATTTGGCTTCTTAAAAACTGTCGGCGTTTGAATGCAGACCAACAATCTTCCATAGGAAGGTGTAGCGAGTGAAGCCGTTTTATTATATATCATCCATTTCTATAACATTTCTTGAGTTTGTTTACTATCATTGACCTCAAGGTACAAGCTCTTGTGTTCAGCAGTGTGTTTTAACATTTAAGATTCTGATTATAGCTAAAGCTTACTCAGGTTGTCATTGTGGCCATAGTTCAGTCTAAGTTTAGTCTATGTAAGTTTCTCCTGGTTTAAAACAAGCTCTGAGAAATCATTTCAATAAGCGTCCTATTTAGCTGGCATCCTCTCAGACAAAATCTATGTTAAACACGCTTTACTGTGGAGATTTTGGCAGTCTACAGTTTAAACCAAGTCCACAATGGTGCCTTATGTTTTTTTTTTTTGTAAATATCACTAATATCAATTTCCCTTCATATAATGCTCATTGTTTAGTTTATAGTTATGATTTTCCAAATGAATCCAATACTTAACATTAACTTTGGGTGTTGTAAAAACTACATTTCTCAAACACATCAAAATTTGTTTTGGAGTGAATGATATGGGGAAAAAAATGCCCACATTACGTTTTTGGAAAAGCCTTTGCACATCTTTAAGGAAACTGATTTTAGTTTCTCTAAAGGAAGGATTGCTAATGGTACATGTGCAAATTGCCATGGGACATGAGGAGCATTGTTAGTTGGTAAATTTCCTAGCCACGCTCTATAATTTTCCCAATGCATGGATAACAGAACACATAATTAATGGTTAACTTACCATTAATATATTTGGATCATTCAAAGAAACCATAGTACAAGGATTTAACCCATTCATGTATAGGGAGTTCACTCAGATCATGTGGAAAGGTCAGAATCCACACCCAGCACCTTCTCCCTGCAAGTTAACAGTGCTAACTACCACCATATCCGAGATAAAATCAGTTAGAAATGAAAAAAAAATCCATCCTTAGTACAAAGATGATTTTTTTTTTATAGCTTGTATGCTGTATAATCAATGCAACCTGAAAAAAAATTATAGTTCAAATAAAATAATTTAGAAACCATAAATAAAATGCTCATTAACATTTATGAAAACTTCTGACCAGAGCGGACCATCACAGTGTGATATAACAAGGAAAAACCCAGGAGCGATTGGTTGAACAGAACCAAAGTGCACTGTTAACCAATGTTTTTGCAAAGGCTAAAAGATTCATCTTTAAAGGAGATTATTAAAAGGCAAACAATTATTTGCCATTATTATATTTCATTGAATTTTTTCACTTTTTCCCTTTTGTACATGGCAAAACAATATATATAAATTTATAAAGATAAGCAACAAAGGGCCTTACATAATTCATAGAATATTTTATTTTGTTTGTGAAACATCTTAGGTGTTGATGTACTGAATTGTGTATAAAACTTAGGAACATTTGAAACAATTGCTGGGTAAATATTTCCCTTTTACAAAATTCTTTATGCAACTTCTAGGTAGGACCGACATGCATCAACCAGTAGCAGGAGAAGCAGCAGTAGTTCAGTGGTTGTTTGGGTGTTTGTGAAATCCCCTTACAAGAAATTGTGCTTTTTTTTGTCCCCAAAGGAGGCTTAGATTTAGGGTTCTTTGCCTGCACGTCGAAAATTAGAATAATGTCTTTACATAACCAAGAAGATGACAAAAATAACTGATTCCATAGCATAATATATATAGAATTTTCAGCTGTTGCTTGTTATCTCTCTTAATTTAAAACCTCAAAAATATCTCATAAAATGATTAACTATTGTTTTGATTCAACTCTCTCAGTGTCTCAAAGCCATCACTTACAGAAAACACGCTGTGACTGTAGATCAGCAAAGCAAAAGAAAAGAGTTGAGCAAAGGAAACAGAACTGCCCCATGTCTGCAAGTACAGTAAGTGTAACATTTTAGAAGTTTCAATCTTTTCTTTTGTAAACTATATTGTTAATCTTTATGACAAAGATGTTTTATTAATACTGACAGGAACAGGAACCAATAATTTCTCGCATTCAAAAATTAAAGAAATACAAGCAAGATTTTATTACCACATGCAAGCTGCTGTTAGACACATGAGCTAATTCAAATGACTGTTTAGACAGATTTCTTAATGGGAGTGAATGAAAGCATAAAAAGGCTGAGTTACAACACCTTCACATGAGAATATTAGGGCGAACTCATAGTGTACCTCCAGGGCTACCAGCTCCAGCCTAACTTTAAACTAACAAAATTTGAACTGATGCATTATAGCAGTTAGGTGATCATTGTGATTATAAAATTCCCCCAAACTTTAAGAGTAGATATAGTTGTTGTACATGTGTGCCTCTGAGTAACATACCTGTCTACAAAACCAATCTACACTATAGATTGATGCTCTTATGGAGAAATATTGCATGAGTCTGCATCTGGAGACAGAAGTCTTTTGTCTCCAATAACTGCAGCGTAAATAAATGGCCATTGATTAAGCATTGTCTGGTTACAGTCTTTGCTGGGTTTTTTGAGCTGATGTAGCCCTTCAGTCAGGCATTCCATCAACGAGCGGTGGCTCCTCAAGAGCAGCAGCTAAGCCATTGTTCTCACCCCTGTCACCTGAATCTCTTTCCTCCATCTTTTCATCCTGATTTAGTTGATTCAGTTCTGAAAGGCAGTCCAGGGGGTCAAAGGTCGGCGATGTGGGTTTAGGGCTTAGAAGTGGGAGCTGAGGCAAAAGTGGCTCGTCCCGAAGCTTGGTGGCTAACTCCTTGGCGCTGCATGTGGGAGTGTTGGTTTCGTAGACATCATGGAAGTTGTTGTAGTCTACTTCATAGAAGCCCTTCTCCAGAGATAAAACAGGTGTGAAGCGGTAGCCCCACAGCACCTCGGTGTCCAGGTAGGAGCTCCGAGCCTGACACGTCATGCCTGTCACAGATATGAAAGAGAATGGGTGTTTGTGTTTGCATGCACAAATTAATTACACAGCATATAAACATTTTAACAAAGAAAATAACAACCAAACATAAGGTGGACAAGAAAAACAAATATAAACACACACAAAAAAGGGAAGAGAAGGGGTACCAAATTAGTTCATTCATCACATTTTTAGAGGAATGGTGACAAAATAAATACCAAGACTTGCTGTGGATTTCTCATTAAAGCTTTTGCCTGGTAAAATATCAGCATAAATAATTCAAAGCATTGTGCTTTCATTGAAGAGACTAAAAACTAGAATGCATTGTGAATATAAAAAAAATTGAACATGTTACAATTTAAGAACAACTCTATTATTGGCTTCCTTTCATTAACACTGAGGTTTTTATAAAAAAGTTGCTTGGTACGTTTATTGTAAAGGAGATGATTGCAACCAATCAACTTAGTTCATTTTAACTCTTTTTATAAATGTAAAACTTAATTTCAATGTAATATGTGAGGTAGAAGAAACTCATGATGACTGGATTTAATAATTTTTACCTTTTACCAAGCTTTCTGGAACCTTAGATTTACTGTAGCCAAGTGGTGTTCTTACTAAGGTCTTTATCACCCCTTAAATTAAAGCTCAAAGTTAATATTGTCTGAATTTCAATATTGAAAGTAAAGTGTGGTTATAATTATTTAGATTAGGGTTGAAAAAAAAAATTGGATAACGTTTTAAAAAGTGTTCACTATACTTTATATACCCATACCCATGCATACTGTACGTGTAGGAGTACACAGAATGGAGCCATACATAACCCATGCAGGGAAATCTCAAAATTGTACGGAAGAAATTATACCTACATGTGATATTTATAACACTCTGAAATATACTGCATAACTTATGGTTTAAATAGATATAATTTTCATGATGATGAAGATTGGTGAAACAACTATAAACACTAAATGCATGTTGAGTCATATATACAACATGTCTTCAGCATGACATGTTCTTTTCTCGAGTCAGTGAGTTAATGCTGCAGAAAGATATAAAACACATGCATAATATTTGTCAGGATTCCGGTGTTTAATTAGGTGAAGTGTTCTGTAACATTTTATCAAAGTGGGCAAAACATCAGGTGGATATATAAACATACAGGTGGTTTCTAGCTTCATGCAGAATCTCAGTAGACACACTGTGGACATTTTTTGAAGTTTCTAAACAGCCTGGCCTGTCAGCAACCATTTTAAGTTTTTATTTTACCAAAGAACACCTGGTTGTTTGTTTTCTTCTCATTACACAAAGTTATAAACTATCATTAAATACAATGTTTTAAGTTTCTATAACTTTCCTTTTCTTCATAAGATTTTGCAATAAATAAAAATTTCTCCTTCCAAAAATGATAGGATAATATAAGTAGGTAAATTATTTGTCTAAATGCATTCAGTTGAATGCGGTTTTGGTAAACACAAAGGCTAATGAGTTGAGAAATTACCTTATACTCAGCTATGGTCAATTTGTCTTATTTCACACAGTTTGCATCGGCTACCAAATCTTTAAATATATGATAAAAATATTGGTGATTTTGGAGAGAAAGATCTCTACCTATGAAAAACTAAGAAAAATATTGTTTTATTTTAGATAAACAAGTTGCCTGAGCTTGAACATGTGTATTTGGTAATCTTGTCACAAATTGAACTAATATAATAGCACCATACTTTGGGATAACCAAAAACATCCACCATATTCCTCTGAATGTGCTGTTAACACTTTGATATTAAAAAGTGCACTCAGTGCATGCAGATAAACAGAAATTGCTCTGTTTAATTCTTATAAAGAATGTGTTTTCTGCATGCCTTTCTCCTGTGTAGTGATATTTACTGTAGCAGCTGTTTAGAAAGGGGCTGCAGAGGCTATAGTTATTTCTATCTATGATCCAATTACAATTTGCCCCTAATATGGCTCGTATCTGTATTGTGTTGCAAAACTCTCAAAAACTGTTTGCTAAAAAGGATTTTGATCTGTAATAAGTAATGCTGGAGAGAACAGAAAGAAGTAACCAAACAGCACATTGCAACCTACAAATTTTTTTCTATAATTGTAAAATAAAAGAAAAGCTATTTTTCGCTTACTTACATTTACAAATAAAAATCTAAAACTGCGCTGTGCATTTGTTATCCTGCCTAAGAAAGTGAATATTTTACAGAATTGTCTTTAGCTAAGGTGACAGCCTCAAGTCTTTTAAGGGATGTCAGCTTTGGACAGCTGGAAATCTAGATCTTATTATGAATATTTGCTTTACTTTTTTGAAAATGTGGTAAAAAAATGTAATCATTTTACTACAATTTTAAAGGCTTATGAAATGTCATTAATACTGCATAGAACAACATGCTACAGCTGGAGTTACTGCAGCAGGGGCTGATCTTTAATTTCTCTGCAGTACACCTGTGCTCTGTCCTAAAAAATCTGACATACCCCTCCAGCAATTGTTCACAGTTTGGAAAAAAGGGACAAAGTTAACATATTAAATATGTTACAGAAACATAACGGCTGATTGCATTACTGTTGTAATGTCATCCATGTTGTCTAATTAGCTTTTTGGATATAGAAAACTCAGTTTTACCACCCTTAATGTTATGGATTAAGCTGGAAATATTGGTTTTCCATTTCAGGTTAGTTTATTTCTATTCATGCAGCTCCATCTCAGAAACAAATCTGTCTTACTTTGCTATTTTGTTTTTATAGGATAAGAAGCAATTGATTTATCTAAGCCAAATGACAAAATAAAACCAACTCTGATATTAAAAGACATAGGGCCCCAAAGAAATCCAATTCTGAGTTATTTTCCTGGAAAGACGGCAAAGTACAATAACTTTAAAAAAAAGAAAAAGAATAGAAAACACAGCCCCCTGTTTTCACAACAATAGAATGGATTCTTGGAAATTGTATAAATCTCGTCTTATTCTCTAAATAGATAATTTTCAAGCGCCACAACACTAAAACCTTTATCTAAAGTTTAGAATCATCATATAATGAATGGGAAGTTAAAAGAACTTTAAAATTCAACTTTAAAGAGGACAAATAGATTTTCATTTAAGTTCTACCATATGTACCATACCTGGACAGTTAAAATAGGGAAAAGCATTGGATTAGGTTCAATCCTGCACTGGATGTTTATGAACAATTTTGGAGCTTTTTGTTTTTCACTAGATTTAATAGATTTCTACCTTAATGAAATGAATATGAGAGTGAGCAATATAGCCAGAACACAATAAGATACTGTTTAGAAAGGAATGTTTTGCTTTGGAAATAAAGTAAACTATGTAGCTCTCTAAATCTAAACCTTTGCTGCAAAAAAAAAAACAAAAAAACAAAAACCAACTATATCAAAATAAATGGTCAGTGTAGGTTTTACGGATCCTTTAGACGTGTAGGAAATGTGTTGATTCAAGGCCTGTGCGTATATAAATGTGATTTACATGTGATTTGATTTACAGTTTCACTTGATATCAAAATGTTTTGTAAAAAATATTTGATGCCTTGGTTTCTATTAGTCAATCACTGAGATGTTAGATAAAAAAGAAACAACAGTTTTGTTTTTCAAAAGGCTGTGCTTCATTACTGGTGGAGTATAAATATTTATTCTGGTTTATTTTTACCACCGATCTTAATATCCTTTTAGATCATAGCAAAATTGGAACAGAGCGAAGCCTTTACTGTATATATTTTTCCTAACATATTTGCCTTATTTTAAACCACATCCCTACTTTTGCAAGCTTTTCAGTTAATAACATTTTTATCTCATTAAAGTAAAAAACTTTTTAATTAGTTTATTCAGGTCAGGTTGCTTTAAAAAATATACAATCTGCAAGTAAGCAAGTATTTGACAAACCAAACACTAACTTACTGACATTATCTGCAACGTATATAGATCATTTGTTTCCACTGCCATGTATTTGTGTTTATTAGTTCTAGTCAGCTTCATTCACTTCAGGTGGGTCTAAATGAAGGTTTGTTTTTAGTGAAACCTGAGAATCTATATTCTGTCTTTGTTTCCTTGGTAGACTTGTTTGGGGCTTGACTTAACCATTCACCTTTCACACTCTTGTTGACATTTAGGACGTTGTCATACAGCGTCTTTCCTTACCACATACTGTATGTACATAGGCCTATTAAAAAAGTTAGAGTTTGTGATGCAAAACTGCTTCAAATGTGTTTTTCATGTTTTTTTCCCCATATATAATTATTTTGGGCCCAAAGCTCAATGTTATAGTAACTACTAAAACAACATGCAATAGTGGCATATTTGTCATAGCTAAATAATTAAAGCTGGACAGCCATTGAGTACATATATATCGATATATGTATATAGTGTGGGTGTCTGTTTAAGTGTGCTATGATGGAAATATTCTCATGGAAAAATCCTTCATAGTAACTGAGTTTATAACTTTCTGGCTTATGCTCTATTTACTAAGTTCTATGTACCAGTGGAAAATCAAGGTAGTGAGCAGGGGAATTTGTGTTTGTCTGTTGGCTTGCATTCAAAGACAGCGATGGCGTTTCCTCAGCGTGATGCCACGGAGGTGTGAAACGTGAGAGCATACCTGATCTGAGCAGAGCTGATTACATCTTGTGACAGTAATATTCTGCTGTAGACACAAAGCACCGAGTAAAAATTTCCATTACACTAACAGCTGGATAAGTAGAAAACAAAGTAAACAGAACTTAATTCAATCTGAATATTGAAGGGAATAAAGAGTCTCCTATTCATTTAAGATTCTGTGGGAATGTATATATCCCAATAGAAAATAAATCTATATCTTTATACATATTGCAATTCCTAAAGATAGAAATAAAATAAAATAAAAAACTAGTGGAAGGAAAATGAGGAACCAGATACAGAACAACCTGGAAAGTCATCTTATAAGGTTTTGAGATTTTTTTTTATGTTGATAAATGAATAATATTTAGTTAATTAAAAAACATTTTTTTTACTCTAGTTTGTAAAATATTTTCTCAATAAACAGTCACAAACCAGGTTATTGTTATCCTTTGCAGCTTATTTTAATTTCCAAATAGCTCCATTTTAACCTGTGCTAAAGCATTGCTCCTTTCATAGACAAATCTTGATTTCAACGTTAATGGAGCTGCCTTCCAAACAGCCAATTATACTGTTTAAAATGTTTTATATAATTTACACTAATATTAACAGTCATGTTAAGATTTGGTTCAACATTTATCATAACTGATTGTAATGTACTAGTTGGATGTCTAGAATTTTTATTTATTTTTTTCTGGAACATTGAAAACATTTGTGATGTTTTTTTCCAGGAGTGATACCTAAAAGCGAGTCCATGCATTTGTTACTTCAAGGCCAGACTAATGTAATTCTCCCACTGAGCCTGATTCTACTGAAGGTTTCTTCCGGTTGAAAAGGTGTTTTTTTTCTCGCTGTATGCATACTCGCTGTATGTATTATCGCTGTATGCATACTTTGTGTCAGGGATTCCTACAGAGTTAACAATGAAATCCAAGCAAATGTCTACTGTCACAACATTCTCATCCAGGAGAACAGAATTTTGCAAAGTCAAAGACTCCAATGATTTTTAATACTGATTGACTTGTCTTTGAAAAGTACCCTCTGATGACATGTGTTGTAAATTGCCACAATAAGAATGAACTACATTTCATCAAATTAATCTTTTGACTAGATTAATAGGTGGGGTTTCCTGGTACTGCACTAAACCGCTGACTCCATCGTGTCATATGGTAATTATTTTCTAGGTAAGGAAAAGTCTTTGTGGGATTCCCAATGGGTCCATTCTAAGGCCATTTTTAATTAACATCCATATGATCTCTCTGGTTTAGGTTATATTGCACTACAATATCTCTTATTGCATACATGCTGAAAACACTTTCTATGACCATAGAGCACTACAGTCACTAAGTCGGTGTATGTAGGACTTCATGAGAGTATGGCCAAGCAATTCCTACAGCTTCATGTTAATAATGCAGAAGTTACTGTTTTTTATCAAAATGCAAGGAGCCAATTGAACAGATACATTTGTTAGAGCTGAAGATCACAGAACATGACATAAACTTAGATGAGTTGTTGGACTTGGGTCAATTTAACTTAGGACTATGCCTAAAAGCTTAGTTACTTAGTGAGTAAGTTGGATGCCCCCTGCATCTTTAACATTTTGGTAGAATAAAGGGTTTCCTGTCAAAAGAAGACCAAAAATAAAGGGTTAACGTGAAAGATATTTTGAATCTCTTAGTCTGCAAAAGGGTAATATTAAGGAATCTACCTTGCCTTGCTGATGCACAATTTGAACTTCAATTTGAAAAATGTATTCCTTCTCATTTTATCTTTGGATTTTCGAGAAACGGCACTTGCTTAGTGTGTTATTAGCAGCACAAACCCCTTTTATTCCCATTTATTCCCTGCTGTGACTGATGTTGTGGAAACCTTTTGATTAATTTCCATTTTAGCTTAACTTAACTTAATCTCTTACAGTAGGCTTATGGTTGAAAAAAGAGAAGTCAGCAATAAACAAAACGTTCACAAGGGTCACACTTTGCTATGATATTGTAAGGATAAGCTGCAGGCTTCTTAAAATTGTTTTTATATTAGCCTCAGCATTAATATATATATATATATTTTTTGCCCATTTCCATGTATCCTGCCACTTTTCAGAGAAATGTTTCTTTACCAATCATCTTAGCATTGACCTATGAAGACTAAACACAAACAAAAGAGTTGAACTAAATTGGGTTTGCATTGTTGACTACACACAACAAACAACTTAACAAATAACAATGTTATGCAGTTATGTTATGCACTTTACTATCATCATGTTGCAAAACCAAACAGGTTGTCAGATCAGATTTTAAGTTCAATATGCAAAAACGGAAGGAAGCATTGTTTCTGTACTTTTAGCTTAAACCTAGTCACCTTTATTGGGTGTGATGCATCTTTTACAAAAGGTTAACAAGAACTAAAGGAAAACCAGAGTCGGATTTATGGAATCCAAGTCATAATTTTGATGGTGTATTGTGTCACATAATTTTGGCAGTGTAGTAAATTTGGGTATTCCCTAGAAATATATTTGCTTTTCACACAAATACAATTACATTAATACCCAAAGAGATATCTAATTACTGCCTGGGTGTTATTAGTTATGACGGTTGTCTGTGTGAAAGAAAGTACATGAAAAAGTAGCCATCAATATCTACAACATTTCATGTAAAAAACACAACCCCCAAACAAACAGACTAATTAATAAATCTTACCAACAAATCTTTCTCTAGACATACTTCGAACTGCTAAAATGTGTTTTGAACCAATTCATTAGATGTCAAAATAGAGAGTGGGTATTCTAGTTAGTCTAGCACAAAGCTCTGCATGAAAACATTGTAAGCAGGGCCAATCTGGAGGTTTGTTATTTATAAGTGTGGTCTAATGTTAAATATTTTTCGAAAAAAAATAAAGATATCATAGGTAATTTGTATTAAGCATATATTAGTGTGGCAAAAAATAGGTTAGGGAAAAATATGTCCAAAGAAAAGAAGGAATAACTTGGAAAACTAACACAATGAGGAGATGCATGATCATTTACCTGATTTATCCACTTTATGCCAGATCTTCTAACAGCACTTTATTTTCCTTGTTAGCATAAATAAATATTATTTGTGACCTTCTAACTATCTAACTCTGCATTTCAGTCCTTCTTTGACGACTCACAACAGCAGCACCTGACATATGTGCCTTGTAAATGTATCCAGCCAGGACATCAGGATTTACCCAAAACAAAAACTTGTAGTGTGGGTAGCTACACTTCATTCATTTTGAAATAAACATTATCAAAGACACAACCTTTAACTAGCAACAGTGGGAATGAGGGCTGCAGTTAGCACAGGAAAACATTTGAAACGCTTTTGTAGATTTTAGTTTCACGCCCCATTTAAGGAAAAGGGATGGAGACATTTTGATTTATAATTAAAGTGCAGTGGGCAGCGTAGAAAATGCAAAATTCTAAGTCAAACTTTTATTACCACTGAACTAATTGTCTTAATGTCATTTTAAACTTTACCGGATACAGTTATCATTTGTAAATAACGGCATTAAAATCTTGGTAATTTCTTCACCTTCACTCCACTTACAATTAAAGTATCTATCCACTCATCCATTAACTATTAATGTCAGTTCTCTATCTTTTAATCTCTAATCAATGAATTATTAGTGTTTGATACCCCCCTTTATCTTTTTATTTGTTTCCCCACATTCTTCTTCATACCTGTGGCTTCAACCATGCCCTCAAGGATAACGACGATCTCGAACTCCTCTTTCTCCATTTGTGCCATGGACATTTCCCAGAAAGGGCTTTTTTCATTGATCTCATGAGAGATAATAAGTGGTGACACCAGGAACAGTCGGTCATCCCCTGTGTCAAAGCCGATGTTTATGTCAGTCTGGTTGAGTGGGATGAACTCCCCCTCTTTGGTCTGCTGTGAGCGAATGAGCTTTGCTCTAATTGATGCCTCCACGATGTGAGAGTTCCTCAAGTCTCCCACTCGAAACATCAGGCACATCTTGCTGTCCCGCACCGATATGACAGCATTGTTCGAGAACATAAGGGTCTCGGCACGGTTCTTTGGCTGTGAAATCTTGACAAACATGCATCCCACCATTATTGCGTTAACAATGGATCCCAAGATTGCTTGTACCAAAAGTAGGACAATGCCTTCAGGGCATCTTTCTGTAATTACTCGATAGCCATACCCAATGGTGGTCTCTGTCTCAATTGAGAAGAGGAAAGCTGAGACAAAACTGTTGAGGTTCTCTACACAAGGGGTCCAGTCCTCCTCATCCCCATGCACCAGATCTCCACGGATAAGTGCAATCAGCCACCATAGGAACCCAAAGAAAAGCCAGTTGACAACATAAACCAAGGTAAAAATTAAAAGACTGAAACGCCAACGTAGATCCACCAGAGTTGTAAATAAGTCACTGAGGTAACGGTAGGTCTCTTGTACATTTCCATGGTGAACATTGCATTTGCCATCCTTCTGCACATATCGCTGACGTGGCTTCTTTACCGGTTCTGAAATCAAATGGGTTCGCTCAGTTGAGATCTGAGGCTCCCGCAGATGTTTTGGGAGTTTCTTCACCTAAAACAAACAGAAAACAAAGAAAGGGTGAAACAAAATAAACACAAGTAACTTTAAAGGAGATTTTTCTCTGCACTTGTTTCTTTAACTTTAGTTATAAAAATGAAAAATTTAAGCAAACTAATATATTAGGAACTTCAAAAAAGTGAAATGGAGATAAATTTTAGAATCCCTAGAGACCCACGATCAGGTGCTAGTGGCTACTTTTTTACCTATCTAAGAATCTGCATGGGTTGCAAATCAAATCAAATTAAACCTGCTGTAGTGTCCAATTTTGTAAATTTTTGTTTACTAATGTAATTTTTCTTATGACTAGGCTAACTGCTATTAACAAAGCTAAGAATGTATACTTTTCAAACTTTGTTGTAAAACATACAGATATAAATCTTGAAAAGTTCAAATAAGCCATTTTTATGCCTGCCATCACTAAGATTTGTACACAAAGAAGCCATATCAGGTTTTGAGGTCAACATTTTCCTACCTGCAATGACGACCTTTGGTACCATTTTGTGAACTTTTTAATACCAAACTACAAAATATGATCTTTTGAACACATCTGAATTTGATCCCTATAAAAACAAAAACATCCTCACACTTTCAGTATTTTTAGTGCTTTATTAATGTTTTTTTTTTTTTTATCATACAACACAAATATATACCATACTATACACTAGACATAGAAAAGAACACATCTTAAAATCTAGTCAAGATGGTGGAACTATTTAAAACTGGTCGTTCTATTAAAAAGTTGTAGAAGTATTTCCAGACTTACACGTGTTAACCTGTTATGTATGATTTGCATTTGGACTCTAGGAAAATCAAACAGACTGAATACAATCAAGAGCAAAATTATGAAGGTGCCTCCCTGTTTTGGCTGTCAATGACATTGCAGGTGCAAGCCCATGTATGCATATAACCAGACCCAAACAGAAACAGAGACTAAGGACAGAAGAGCACAAGGACACCAAGGTCTTTGTCTGTGCTGGCCCTGCTCCAGCTAGGCAGCCTGGCTCCACAGCTGTGTCCTTGCTCCCTCTACATCCCTTGTGTTCCCTCCTTTAGCACGCTAAGAGACACTAGCATGAACAGATTTTCCATCCTTTCCTAAAAGACCCTTATGTTATCAATACAACAGACTGCTTTTATGAGCACCCATGCATTAACGCTGAGTTCAATGTCATTTTCCACGAGGGTAATTGAAAATAGCACAAAAAGCTTCACAATCTGGTGTATTTAAACAAAAGCTGACCTTTTTTGCTTTCCAGTCACACAGGGTGGATAGCATTAAAATAAAAACATGTTTTTAATTTTAATGCTACCAAGACGTAAGTCAAATCAATGAAGAGGTGGATTTTCCAGCAATCTCACTACAGATGGCTGGTAGTTCAACACCTGTGGTCTAAAGTCTTCCAACTATATGCTCATATCATCAGGAGACTTCCATGCTGGCTCTTTCTGTCCTGATTGTTCCACTCCCAGGTTAGATGCAAAGAAATAAATCAAAGGCGCTATAGTGTCTTTGCAGTGCCTTTGATTGCAGATCCTAGAATTATAGTCTGTCAGAAAGGTTAGATTTTCTTCATATTGATTAGAAGTGATCCTTGTTTCAATGAAAAATTGATGATAGTTCTTATTGACCTACAGTAATTTGAACTGTTAATTAAAAGTACTATGGGGACACTGGAAACTGGACACTAAGGAACATATCTCACACTTTTTATAGGGTCTCTCAGGTAAAGTCAGTGTGCCCTGCACAAATGTTAAAAGACATGTTTGATTATTTTTGTATCAATTTGGAAGCCTTAATAGGCCCTATTAATTACTGCAAAAGTATCACCCCTAAGTTTTTTTTTAACCTGCACATCTTAATCTGTAAGTAAGTTAAATAAGATACTTCAGAGTGACTTATATCCTGTTGCAATCCACTTACTGTAATGAATTCTATATTCTTGTAAGAGTATATCAGATCTAAATTTGATTGATGCTGTATAAAATGCTATGTGAGGCAAAATGGTGTTTTGATATTTGCTTTCTTTCCCGGTGTAACATATTATGCCGGGATAATTATTATATATTGTCTTTGTCAGGGGGAAAAAATATTTTTGGTCTGGCGTATGGCTCCTCCTTTTATTCATCTGTAGATTTGCCTTTCCTCAAACATTGTATATGGATGAATGGATGAAGCTATTCCAAGCCTACATCTTCGTTTTCCTCTACTTCCTCATGCCCCCCATTTTTCTGTTGCCTTTTCTTTTTTGTTTCTCGCCATCTCGCAATATTATCTGCCTTGTCATTGCTTAGCAGTTGAGCCTCTGTGTCTGCAGAGTTTGTAGAGAAAAAAAATGCACAAAAGTTACTCTCAGCAGAAATGCTTGAAAAACCTCAGTTTAGGCAACTGGATGTGAAGTTTTCTAGAAGACGTTTCGCCTCTCATCCAAGACTCTTCTTCAGTTGTAACTACTTATTGAGAGCACCAAGATTAATATATTGTAGGTCTAAGAAAGAAAAATGTGTTTTTCTGCCCAGTGTCATTTGAACTAATAGCGCTGAAAGGCAATCTGTGCTTTAGATGTTTGAAATTAAAGGTAATCTGTAAAAGTTTTATTTTATGTATTTTTTTAAGTTTCTGGCATAGTTGAGACTCCTATCCTACATTGAGTGATAATATATATGCAAAAATGACTGCTGTGATATCAATGTCTATTATTACTACAAAATTTGTATCATCAGAAATCAGTATGACAATTCCATTTACACTACATCCCCTCTTACACTGCAAAATTAAAATCTTATCAAATAAAATTTTTCTTACAGTGTGTGCTTTTCTTCTTGAGTTGAGCAGATAAGTGAAGCAATTTGTCAATGGAATTAGAACATTTTCGTTTAAGATAAGAAAAAAAACTACAGTCTCTTATTTCAAGTGCAGATCATCGTAATTACCTGCTCAAATCAAGGGTAATTACACTTACTTTAAGAAAATGTACTGGTTTTTAGATCGTTTTATGCAGTGTACCCTTTTCACTTTGTAATGCAAGATACCTTGTATCTCTTCTCTTCTTTTACCTTTAATCCCGAGTGGTTTTAAATACAGCGTAACAGTAGTATCTTGTCATACTGCATTCCTATGACATCAAAAATGAGATATTCTCCCCCATAAATATCTGACACAGTTTTGCTTTTTGTTTATAAGGCCTGAAGCTGGTGTAGAAAGCCTTTCTTTAGAGATGACACTGCCCGTGAAAACAACTCTCTTCATTTTATTGTGTATGGTTGGTCTAATTGAGTCATAGAAGTAGCTGTCTCAAGCACTACTGCCTTTTTTAGTCAATACCTAGGGGTAGTGGTCCATGCACAAATTAATTAGCAGACTCAGTGTGGCAGCAGTAAGTGGAAGGTTTTTTATTCTGTTTCTTTTCCTTGTTTAGCCCTTTTGGTCAGGCTTGAGTGGGAGCCAAAAGTTCCCGTCAGCTGGGGAATGAGTGCAGATAACAAGCAGGACTCCACCATCTGTCATAGGCAAGCATTGGATAGCTTTTATTTTGCATCCTCAGGGCTAAGAAAACCAAGTCTTGCATTGATCTCCATATTGAGGAAACCTAATTGTATTGTGTCAGTAAGCACTTCTTAAAAATACAGACAGATCGTTACAGCACACCTGTTGCTGATTTAAAAGGTCTTTAACTTTGTCCATTGCAAGCTTCTCTAAAGCCCCCAGTCTGTTGCTTTTTACTTCTGTATCCTTATTTAATGCAGTTTAGCAAAGTTTGTATCCTTCAGCAGAAAGAGTTGTGTTTTCAGTTTACCTGTGCAGGCGTTACCCCTATCTCCATGTTGTGGTCCATAAGGACTCGAGAATCTCCTGCCATCCTCAGCTGAGGCTCACCTGTGGAATATAAAGCAGGTACATTAGTTTAATTGTAAAACAATTATATTTTGTTATTATATTTTGTAAGATTTCAATTGCAGGAACATTATTTGATTATCTTTATTTATTTGCTAATTACCCTTAAAAACAATTGAGAAAAGAAAGGAAAATTCTTAAATGAAGTCTTATTGATCCAAGCTTTAGTATTGTGATAAAGACCATTTCATCAGCAATTCTAAAGTTTGGCTTTTAATGGACAGAGGTTGATAGAGTACCTAAATTGTACCAGTAACAGCAGCACTGCATCATCATATTTCTACTCAGGTAAAAGTATTAATTCAAAAAATTATTCATATAATAGTCAAAATATACTTGGTGAAAAGGAATGGAATACTATAGTAAGTAACTGATCTTTTTACTACTTCTGCTTACGTTCATAACAGCTGATTTAATATTTAAAAAAATGTGTTAAACATACATTTATGAGCAAATTATGGTATTTCAGATAACGAAAGGG